CTGTTGGCTGAACATCACAGCTCTTCAGGAATCTTATGAGTCTTTGCTATCAGCAGCGTACTCAACAGTCAAAGCGGTACAATGTGAGAGCGTCACACAACAAAGTACAAAGACGAACAGTTTCATTTAGCGGCATTGATTTTACGTTGGACCATCGTCCAAGTTTTCACTACTGGAAATACTAAGTGATAAAATGTGCTGAATAGGCAACTGCACCTTTGGACTATAATTAACAATGCTTAATTACAAGGGGTGCAAATGTTGAGTTATGTTTGCATTCAGTTTCAGTCACCAAAACACAGCGAGTTGAGGTTTCACCATAGAAATAGAATAGGAGATGAACGGATATTCCCATTTAAATCAACGTAGCTGGATGGTCAGAGCGGCGGCCATTTTTATCTGGACCATTGTTATTGCGGCCGTCGTAGAGGGCTAACCTCCGTATGAACTAAACCGACTCACGGCATGTCGCGGACTCACTGAGGTGAGTCGTTTTAGTGACAACTAAAACAAGCAGTGGAGTAGTAGTAATGTTAGTAGAGAGCCAGAGTAAATGAGTAAAATATAACTACTCAGTACTTCATATACACACTCTTGTCACAGCGTAGAAAAGCACATTGCTACATGCCAAATGAGTAAGGATCATACATCTACATAAATAACCGGTATTTGTGTTTTTTGTGTTGCTGTATTTGATGCAGTGCAGATAGAGAGTAAGAAACATGGTGTTAACCAGCTACTGAACAAACATTCTCTGTACCTTTATTATTTTAAGTAACTCAAAACCTTTTTTTTTTTTTACAGTGTTTTGGGATCATTCCTCGTTTCAGTTACATATTCTGTAAATTCACTGGATTTGTCTTAAAGCTAGTAGGAGAGAAATAACATGTTTTTTCACAATAAACACTTGAAATGATGAAGGCACTTGCAAATCACAAGGTAGTAAATAATGTAAACCATACTTTGGTGTTTCATTTTTACATCTTTACTTCTTTACTTAAGATTTCATTCAACTTATTTTCTTTTTACAAAATGTACCAAAACACTGGCAACGAGAAACATCTTGGGTAGATAATAACAAGAATAAATATGACAAAAATTTAAAATCATACCCTCTAAACTAAAAAGGCAATCTGGTTTGAATTGACATCAAACATTATTACTAAACTTGTTTACAAGATATTTAGCCAAGGATATTTAACAGGGGACCTTCAATGAATTGGCCACCATAGTAATGATCAATTATTATTAATTAAAATCGATTCATCATTTGAGGCTTACAAAACACAGAATGATATGCCATTGACAGGACATTGGCCTATTTTGCAGCACAACCTTGCTAAAAGTTTGTTACAGATCAATTTTTAAAAAAAACATCAATGCGGTTACTCAAACCTGCCGCTCCCACTTGGTCGCTGGTTAAATATTCTTCTGGAGGACAAAGGACACCATTTGCAGGACACTTGAACAAGGCCTGAACAACAAAAAGGCCTAGACCTTACCAACACAAAATAGAAATCAGTAAACAATAGACTGTTGGTTTTTCTCTTAAAAGATGTTGATATCTACATGGTCAGGGATGGATTGAGTGAAACTCTACTTGTAACACATATTTCAGAAGGAGAAGGCAGCCACAGTGAACTGGTTGTGTGAAAAGCAACAGATGTTTTCTTCAGTTTGGGTGAAGTCATCGAAGTAAGCACCATGCCCGCATCACTGGTTCAGACCACGCTTCCCAACACACAGCGGTCTGCAGAGCTCCAGCCTCTGACACCTTGAGAGATGAAACCGGGTTTCTAATCTTGCTCTTTGTCAGTCGATATATTTATGAGTTCAAATGAATTACTTATTGGTTAATTACTAACATTAGTCATAATAATTCAGCACTCAGATGTAGGCTTTAGAAAACCTGTCACGGAGACAAATATTAAAGCTCTGGACTTAAGTGCAACATGTTAACTTTATAATGGGTGAGCAATCTATCGGTTTAAAAAGGTCGCCATGAAACAACGTTCACACTTATCGCAGGCCCGTCTGCTAGAATGTGGGTGTTATGTGACTACAGAAGATGTGAAACCTACTTAACACGGGAAGTTGGGGGATAGGCACACTGACCATCTATATAAAGGGTGAGGCTATATTTGTATGACTATAGTACAGGTTTCTCTGTAGTTTGCTCATGGCTACTACAAACAAAAGGGGACTACCCTCCACACTACGATGGTATCTTGCCATGCTTTCGCACATGGATCTAATTTCAGACCTGCAAACCCAGGATGTGGTGAGAGTGGCAAAACAGTAATGCAGTATCAGCAAAAAACGGTGCACACAGCAAGCTTTCCAGTCAATAAAAGAGGACAAAGTCTCAGTCACGTTAAAGCACGCCGTTACAAACTGCATCGCTGGTAGAGGGAGAACACAACACCTAAATTGCAGCCAAAATCAATCTGAAATCAAACTTGTATTCACTAAACTGTTAAGGCGGAGATATGAGAATTATGAACAAGCTGAAACCTTTCACCGCTTCTCCAAATGCTCAAACGCTCCACGCCATGTTGCTATGACAATTTAATTATAGTCTGTCACGGTTGCACTCTTGTTTGTTTGCCTCTGAGTTAGTGGGAAGATAAAGTGTGAATGTGAAGTGGTGGTTTTTTTGGCAAAGTACCTAATGTTTGGCTGTAGGAGAAACAGCTCTTGTTTGTGGTGAGTGACTGCGGAGGTTTCATAGCTGGCCAAAGCTGTTCCGATATGACTCATAGCATTAACCCTTCCAGCTCATGACAAAAAGTAAGCGTCGCAGAATTGAGACAAATGCATACTTTGCTATAAGACAGGCCCAATTTTAGTGCTCAATGCATGCGTAGATGTATAATGTTTGCACCCAACCCCTTCAGTCAGGCCTAGTGCAATGATAGCACAGTTTTAGCATTCAAGAACCATTTTGTTTTATGCAGATGGCAGTGAAAGCCAAGTCACAGAAATGGGAAATTGATCAGATTCAGAGAGAAGCGAGTCATTCCTCAAATGGTCATCTGAAACTACTCCGATAACAAATCCACCACAATGCTAAGCCTCTGCTGGCAGACAGTACACATACATCATAACAGCGTCCTACACGGGGACATTCTTCTGTCCAATCAGGACTCAGCAGTCAGGGCAGAGAGAGCGCTTCAATCAAAACGACGAGGCGTGTGCAAACGTTGCTCTGTAGCTGCGCTCCAGGGAGCAGCAGTCCGGATGTGAAGCTAACCCCGGATCATACATGGGGGGGGGAAGTCGGTTATTACAGCGCAGGACGGTGGTTTATGAGTTTGGTTTAGAATATCAGATCGACATCCAAGGACAACTTTCAGTCTACTCCGGTCAGCTCGGCAGCTGCGGGAGTGAACCCTCCACATAACACCTCTTTAACGTCAAAACTGAGTGGGCAAAATAAGACAGCCGGTGTAATGTGCAGTGAAAATGTTTTTACATGATATTTCACTCATGGGGCGACACTGGATATTAATGTGAGATACAGGTTACTTCATTTCCCATATTCATAAAGGTAGAGAACGGTGTTGTTCCTCTTTGGCCACAGTCATTTCCCGAACCATAGTCTGACCACTTTTTTGTCCCAGCCGACCACTGCTGGAATGTTTGACCACTGCAAACAGCAGTTAATGCAGCTTGCTGACCCAAGCGTGATCTTTCTAAAACAATCTCGGTGGGGTGACGGTTACAAGAGAAAGGCCTGCGCTGGTTAACTTACGGTCAGGCTTGATAACAGAATAGTCCAGGCTGGAAAATCAGTCAAATAAATGAAGAATGTACAACACACTCTGACTTTTACAGATGAACTCAGCGTTGACCTTTTCTGTAAACTCTGGAGCACACGTAATAACACCACAGACATAATGATTGCCCTCGTTGTGCAAGACTGGACTCAGTCATGCAGTGTCGCTCTCTGACACTCGCCGTCTGACTCAAAATACTGTGCAAAAACACTTCTGCTAACGTCAAATGACATCTTGGCTGTACAGCCTTACAATTACTGTAGTTTCACAAACATCAGCATCTTTTTTCAAACAGATGGCTGACAAAAACATACAACAGGCAAACATGCATGAAGGATTGATTACAGGGCCACAACTAGCAACTATTTTCATTGTTGAACACCCGTGTCTGCTTTTTTTTAATTCATTGTTTCGTAAGAAACTCGAGAAAAATGTCCCATGTGACATCTTCACATATGTTTTGCCCAAAAAAATAAAAAAAAGTGAGGAAACCTACACTTTTGAGCTGCTAGAAACAAAGAATGACTTAATTGACTGACTGGTTATTAAAATTGCTGACGATTGATTTTATGCCAACCAACTAATCATTTAGTAGGCCACCAGCAAAAGACCTCTACAACACAGCAAAGCCCAGTCAATTATCAATGACAAAACACATTCATCCATCCTGAGTCAGTACAATTAAATGTGAGAGGGTAAGCTTCACACCATGGATATGAAAGTATTGTTGTTCCGTTTCATGTGATGTCCTTATCTTGTGTATTTCAGCCCCGATAGATGTAACAATAATTTTTTTTTTAAATGACTATGCTCTATTTAGGACTGCAACTAACAATTATTGTCATGATCAATTAACCTGTCAATTACTTTCTCTATTAATACATTCATCTTTTGGACTGTAAATGTGAAAAAGGCTCATCACACTTTAATAGAGGGCAAGGTGACGTCGTCAAACATCTTGTATCCCAAACATAGTTAATCGGCATTGAAACAATGATGGAATCAATTCATTTTGGGCATGTTTGGCCTATAAAATTACACAATATTGTTTTCAACTCATTTTCTGTGGAAATAATCAATGAATTGAGTAATCTTTCAACTCTACCTATATGCACAGTGCATGTTATTTTTAGGTTTCAGCAACATTTTCCATTGACTTGTCTCACCAAGCAGCTGACAGACTGACAGTAGATTATGAATGGAAATACTGACACCACCTACCCTCATGTTCAGATGCTGGACATGCCACCTGTACAACCAGGTCAAATGTTCTGTCTGGATATTCCCTGTAAAGAACAAAACACTGTTTACTCAGGGGACATAAGTGGCAGCTGGTAATACACACATGCATAGGCAACAAGTGTGTCTCTCACACACACACACACACTCACACACACACACACACACACACACACACTGTATTGCATTCCATCACATTAGTATCGTATTAATAATATAGTGGACCTGCCCTACTTTACGTGAGTCACACTGTCAACAGCCGACAATGTCAATAACCGCTATGCTGAGTGTGATTTGTAGTGATACGTTTTCTTATCTCCGATAACATATTGGGACAAACTTGGGGTGACCGGACCGGTGTGGTGTCGTGTCGTGTCCACACTTAGCGTATTTAACGCTGTCTGCTCGGCTAGCGGAGCTGCTAATTGGTGGTCAGCTAACCGTCGGTAGACAGACAGAGCAACAGACTGACCCGAATGCTGTCGAGCCAGCTGGCCTGGCGGTTAAATCCACCGTCGGAGATGGCTCACGTTACGGCCAAACATTCCTTCGCACATATCAGCGCAGAGTTAACGTTACGTGCACGGGGGACCACGCATTAGCCGTTAGCTCGACCGCTGAACGTCAAGAAGCGACAGATCAAACTAAACGGAGGTGTTCTTACTTTATTCTGCAGTCCATGGTTTAGCTACAACATCGCGACAACTCCCGTGCTGTCGGCGGCTCTGCTGTGGCTCTGCTCTGGGCTGTCCGAGAATATGTCCACCTTCGTCCTTCCTCAGTCTCAGCCGTCACTTCGTCTGTCTTGTCTGACACCGGTCGAAAGATGCCCGCGACGGCATGCTGGTAGGTGGGGTGGTGCAGTACTTCGTGCCGTGTCCTTCTACCGCTAAACGTAGCCTGAATCCCCGGTTCAGCACCACGGCGTTTATTTCCCACAACAAACACCAGTCCAGGAAGTGCTGTCAAAGATTTGGTGACGTCAGCGCGTCGGATTAGCACCTTGCTGCAGCTTCTGCCTGCGAGCATCTCTCTCTTCCACTTAAAATGAGTAACCAGCATGATGCACACAGCAGACCTGAGCCGTGTGATTCATGCTTCTGATGAAAATAATGAAAAATAAACCTTTCCCTATGAGACTGCATTATTAGTTTCAGTAATTGTTGCAACGGTAGCATTCAGCAGTGGTTCTCAAAGTGTGGTCCTGGGACCATCCGGGGTCCTTGTGAGGGCTTCCAATTTGAGAAGTTTTTTTTGCCAATTGGGGGCTGACGAACAACCTACTAACACATCATAACACTACATATCATGGCCTTATAAAGTTGTTATGGTGAACATGATAACATGGCAGTAAACGGTTGCCCATTTAAACATTCTGAAGATACCAAGCAACAATGTAGCACTGGTTGGTCTGGCTCACTGACCAACTTAAAGCTCAATATTCACTCTCCTTTTAGCCATGTGTTGTTCTCCACAAGGGAAATAGCTGGCTCTTTTAATAGCTGAATGCTCCACAATGTTCAGTTAGATGCTTACTTTTTCTGCTGTTTGTTGCTGAGCAGGTATTTTTGCGCCGCATCTTGGAACAAAGCTGGCGACAGGTGAGAGTGAACCATAACAGCAAAGTTTCAGGCCATAAAAACCATGAGTTGATTTTGAGAGGAATGAAGCTAAAACGACCTGGAACTGCAGAGCTGAATGTTTCTCGTGAAGAATAATATTTGATCCACTGTTACTCCAAAGCAAGCAACTCTGGTTCACTGTGCGATATCACCATTTAACATGTAAGGGGATTTGCACTATTAAAGTAGGCTACCATGATTAAGTTGGGTCATCCATCCTCACTCTCTTGTAGAGGACCCCTGTATACTTTTCAGCTCTTCATTATTAAATATTGCATTGTGCAGTGTGATTTTGGCAGCTCTTTAATTGAATCACCACAAACTGTCACACAGACAACCTGGTATATTATTCCAGCACAGGAGTCCTCTGGGTCTCTCAGCAAATAGTAAAGCTGCCATATGTTGTCTGCTGTGAGCACTTGGAGGTTGGTACATATGGATACAAACCCAGATGGCAGTATGGGTTTGGGGGTCAATAGGAGCCCAACAGCAAATTGGTTAACAGGTTAAGCCGGCCATTACCACAGCTTATCAAACATGGGTCACTTGTATTAAAGAAACAAGTATAGAGATTGTGGAAACAGGCTTTTGACCCCACGTTTTTATTAACCAGCATCAAGCTGCACTTGAGCAAAGCCTAAATGTTCGAGAGGTGAGCTTATGACTAGATGATTGTCGGCTTGATCCTTGGGGGGGGGGAGTGAAAGAGTACTGCTTGCCCCTCCCTGATTACCACCACTGAAGTGCCTTTGAGCACGGCCCTTAACCCCCGACTGCTGAGCTGCTCAGCAGTCAACAGATCTGTGGTACGTAAATATAGTGTGCCAAGTGTAAATGCTTCTTACATTAACCAAGTTAGACGACAGTAGTCCATGCATGAAATAAATGCTGAAATCGCAATACATAACTCAGTTACACAAACTTTTAGATAACTGTCTGCATTATACACAAAAACCATGTAGAGAATCAGCCTGTATATATATATGGCTATTACAATCTGCTTCAGGACTCCACAATAAACACATTGCTCCTGAATCAGCTGAGTCAATGGAGTATTAAATGGGAAATCCACCCTAAAATAAAATTATTTCTCAGGGATTTAATTTGGGGATTTAAATGAGACAATTCCTTGTTTTCACACATGTTATGATTCATAGCTGTAAACCTTCATTGAATTATAATTTATTCAAGTGTAATATCTCAACCAGAGATTATATAAGCCCACGGGGTCATTAACAAATTAATTGTTGGTGGACCAGCTCCCAAAGTGACACTTAATGACACAATCAATTAGTATAATTATGCTCTTGATTTCCTTTTTAAGGGAAATATTTGTTGTTTTAATAGATGTTGGCTTTACCTGCCAAAATCACTATGTAGTGCCATGTAAATTCTGTTTTAGGGTGGACTTTCCTTTTATTGTTTGCATGTTTAAGCAATATTTGTCCCATGGTAAATTGAAACCAATGGCTTAGATGTACTTCTCTCCCCTCTCCAGAGAGTCTGCCTGGATCAGAGCCAGATGTCTTCAGGCTGACTGGAAGGTAATTAAGTGGCAGCAGAATGGGGCATGCTGTTTCAGGCATCCATATGAAATGATAATGGCATGGCTGCTGCCTTAACATTAAAAAGCATCAACAATATAACACCCATACACAATAAGAGACACATGCATAAAGCTTGTAAGATGATTGAGCTCTGCATGGCAAACAGTAAGGTTTCACATTACAAAGGACTATTAACAGCAAATAGTCCCAGGTTATGTTCATTTAGGATAACCTAACATTTAAAAAAAGGACAATACAGTGTCTCTTTGTTTTTAGGCCCTGAAAAGATATATTTCAAAATGGCTTTAATCGTTTGAACTAGGTGCACAAGATTTATCTTGCTCAACTTAAAGGTCACTTACAACATATATAAAGAGGGTTCTATGTGTTTTTCTTGTCTAATTATAGCCAGCAGTGAAGTTAAAGCATCTGTATTATCTTACATTTTCAGATTGTTTTTGCAGCATTTTCATTTTTTTATATATTTAGCACTGTTGGTGTGCACAATGTTTCTCATAGTCGGCACGCAGATATATATATTTTTTTACCAGTGATGTGTAATTTGTCTACGGGTAAATTGACCCCACAGTGTCAGTCAAAAGACACTTGTCAGGTTTCATTACCCAGAATTCTGTTGTAGACACGTCATCAGAGGTGGCATACAGCGGCGGATAACCTTGAAAGGACTCATTAATGTCCACTCATCAACCTTGCAGGGCTTTTTCCAAGTCTCTATAAGTCTCTATATTACTTTATTATTATGGGAAGATGTCTTTGTTTGCATGTCAGTGTCATTGCAGCCATAGGAGAGCATAGGAATGTATAGGAATAGTGTAAGTGTTCCTACTTTTGCTCAATTGAACCACTTTCATAATTATATGAATGTTTAAATGGCACACCTCGTGTACATAATGGACAGAGTGGCATATAGGGATAAAATGCAGTAGAAAGAGATAGCTTTTACTTAAGTAAAATATCTAAATACTTTTTGAAATATGTTTTTCTCAATGTGGGTGAACTGACACTTTAATCAAACTGGTGCAACATTTCTTTCCAGAAGAAAATAATACACTCGTGAATGCTTAAAAGTGGATTTTGCCTCTTCTGGTGTTTTTGCTGATCAATGACTGGTGGTCACTACTCACAGTTTATTTAACACTAAATTAAGTCGCATAATAAAATATAATAACGCAGTGACAATGCATCTAATATAATATACAACATTATTTTCGGCTATGTATCCTTTAGCAAAGTGGAAGTTATCTGTCCTCATATCACCAGGGAGCCCGTGCTGGTAGCTGCAGTGAAACAGCAGAGGCGCTGTGTGAACCAGAGGATCCGCGTTACGACACGGTCACATGTCACCGATGTGACGAGGCGAAGCAGGAAGTACGTTACCATGCAGGCAAAAGTGAGAGGAGGCGGCGAAAAGTAAACATGCAACAAACAATCTTTGATACAAATGGCGTAATCACTCGTTACTGTATCTATTTCAGAGATGGTCTGTTTTCCCCCGGATATCTTTTTGTACACAGTTCCAAGGCGAGAGGTCAACTTTTACCCCGTTTAGGATTGTAGTTTTTGCAGGAGCATGTTTCACCAAAATTACCCGTTTAAAGCGTTTGTCTGCAGGTTGATTGTTCTCCGTGTGCAGTTTAATAAACACTTTGTAACAATGTCAGTACCGAACCTATCAGAAGACAGCTCAGAGCTACTCACAGGCAGAAGCCTGTTAAAGATCAACGCAGACTTTAACGAGAATGACCACGATGGAAGAAAGTTGACAGAGGATGAGGTGGCCATCCATAGAGCCCATACAGAGGCATGCGAGGTAAGAGGAATCCCCTCGCATCCAGTGATGTGTTCGTGTTCAATCATGGTGTTTCATTTGATTACCGCAATTGTCTATGATTAATTAGCAGCGCGCTGTTCTGCATGCTTTCTGCTGGTTATAATTTAACTGAGTTGCATAACTGCAGCAGTGGAGAAGATTGGTCATTCAACTTTAAATAAGCAATACCACAATAAAAAGATACGCCAAGTACAAGTTTGCCATTCAAAGTATTAGTAAAAGTATAGTATTATAAGACAAATGTAAAACTACTCCTGCAGAATGGGCTCTTTATCAGTGACAGTTGTAGGCTTATTTTAATGCTGGATTAACGAGCATCATATTAATGTGTATAGTATGTTATGTTTATTTTTGATCTGATGTTAATTTACTGTTGATTATATGATAAATGACAAGTGATCATATTTTACCCAATGGTCATACATTTGGATGTCAAATCTGAATCTACAAAGTAATTGAAGCTGTCAAATAATGGTATTTGAGTCAAAAATATTTCTCATTTAAAATGTAATAGACTAGAAGTACTGTATAAAGTAGGATGGAAATCTCAAAAGTAGTGCAGCACTTGAGCAGATGTACTTAGTTTTGAACTGTTTATATGAGACTATGGCTGAGCAAAGTTAAACCATGTGAACAAAATAATACTGACGCGGATACATAATATGTCAGCTCAGTTGGAATTATTTTTGGAGCCAATACCAATATTCAATGTTCTCTAACATATTTAACAATGTTGCTTGTTATTGCATAAAGTAGGAGGAGGATCTTCATAGAAATGACTACCTGCAGTTAATTAAGTGTTTTTTTAAAGACTGCCAAAATTTACATTTTCTCTTAAGTGACATGCTCCTTGAAAAAACAAACCCAATGACAATGTTAATTTCACCCTGCTGATCGATAGATCTCATGTCAACATTGACTCTATGCTATTGCTCTGATAGAGATCAAGATTCTTTGCCCCATTTTAGGTCATAACATCATTATATCTTTAAAAAAATGCATAAATACCTGTAGATATTTAACATAAGCATTGCACACCCCCACGCTTACAGTATTCCGTTTTTTGTCATATAGATTCTGTTTACTGATATTGTAAAGAAGGCTGGTTTAGACTAGACGGCAAAACTTTCACTTTTCAGCCTTGATAAACAAAACGTCTACAGACAAGTAGATGTTTAAACATCTAATAAAGATCCACCGAACATATTTTCAACGTCAGATTGCTCAGTGGGACAACAAGCCAAATCATCAGTACAAATAATACCAGAACAATAAGCCCACTTGTTATGTAGGAGGATGTTGTGAATGTCATTGAATGATAATATGCCGGCTGTCGTGCATCTCCAAAGCCCACCTGTCCCCAGGGCAGAGTCCCCTGTGGGTCCTTGGCAGAGTGAAATATTACTGTAATTGTAATTACTTAAAGTGAGCATCATGGTTGAGCATTTTTACTTTAATACAAGGTTTCACTCTTTCCATTTGTACTCCGTAACTGTAATATTTATTATTTTCTCAATCATTGAACAAAGAGATTGTGGGAAGATAAGACATTTGTGGTGTCGAGTGGTAGTCTGAAGGTATTTCAGAAAGATTTCAATTTAATTTTTAAACAGTTTTGTTACAACTTTACTGAGAAGCATACCTACCCGGTGCTTCATACACACCTGTCATAAACTAATGACGACCATTGTTTTTGTCAGATCCATCATATTCACCAAATCTTACTTGCTCTTCCATCAAACAGAGCGAGTGAGCTCTGTGGTGATGACAGTAGTGAATAGGTGTCATCTCCGTGCCTTGAGGCTTATCTGTTGTAAATATTGTGCTTCTGAGTGTGGGTGAAGTTGAGGCAAGTTGGCCGCGACCTGAGGAGAGTGGTAGGGCCTGGGTGGGAAAAGCACAATGCAGAGGGGGCTCGGCTATGCCAGCTTCACTATGTGGCCCTGCAATGCCATGTGACATGACAGGCCGTGTCACCAAAAGGCCTGGGGCCTTTTTCCCTTGGTGGCCTGTCAAAGCTCACCAACTAGTGGGCTCTTAGTTTGAAACAGACTGAGAGATGACATTTTCTAACTTCCTAAGGGATGACAGAGTAGCTCAGTGTTTTTCACCTACAGAAGGTGTTTGTTTGTCTGTACAAGATGAGCGATCGGTCAAAAATAAAGGAATAATTGTTTCAAAAATATGCTTTTTTTTTTCAGCATCCTGTAAATATGCAGTGACTATGAAACCTAAATACAGTGCAACCAGTGGATTAATCTATGCAGATTGCACGCAAAAGAACAGGACTAATTCATTTGTAGCATCTTAAGAGTTAGACTGTCTTGCATCTGTTTGTATGCATAGAGGTCGTCCATTCCCTCGTCTCCATGGCCCAAAGCAATCTGTCTCTATATGTATGTGTTCATATTCAGTATTGTTCTTGCATGAGCCTCTGTGTTTGGGTGTGTATATTGCACTGTATATGGTTATGTATGCGGAGGTCACACACCAACATATGTGTTTGTATGTCATACTAATTCAATAATAATATCTTGATTATGTTCAGGCAAAGAAGCAGATGTATGTGGACCCTTCCAGTGGGTACAAGGTGTTCACAGAGTATGCCCACCTTCAGAGAGGGAAATGTTGTGGCACCGCGTGCAGACATGTAAGCTCTTTGATTTCTGTTTTTACCAGGTTGTGTGTTTCTCATCTGGCCTCGGCTGTTAAGTTTGGTCTTGTCCCATCCTCTTCCGTTCTTTTCTGTTCTGGACCCTAGTTTCCCAATGATCGTTTGCCATAGATGGTAACTGTGTCTGAGAGCGGTTTGACAAATGCTCTTCATTTCTTATGCTCAAAACTGTGTGTTAAGGGCATCTTGATATCAGCTGTCCGTTGTGCTAAAAAAGGACACTTCATGAATTGAGTATCACTGTCTATTTTCAGTTTCCTGAACAGCACACATGCATTTAAAAATTTTCGCTCAGTACGACAATGTAATATGTTTTATATGATACATGTTACTCACTGGAAGTAAGAAAGTAAACTGAAGTTATTTGCCTGTTGCTGAAAGCAGATGTGCCCATATGCACAAATTCAGAAATAGCGTTAAATCTAGCAGTGATGATTGTTAAGGAAGAGAGCAATATCACCTCTTCATGCATGTTGTCATTCTGTTCTCAGATAAGCCTTCCTTATGAGAACCCCGTCAACAAAACTGAAAATTTTATATCGAAGCAACACAACGAGACCAAATAGAAAGCAGCAATATGGAGGCTAAAAAAAATAAAGTTAAGTGAAAATCCCGTCTTCTGTCTTGCACCATCCCATCCCCGTCTGTCTTCTCCTGTTCTGTCTTTTCTTGCTCTTTGTGCTTCCGTCCTGATTTGGTTCGGCCTCATCCTGTTCTCGTGTTCGGCGTGCATGTCCATGTCTTGTTCTCTGTGATGTCCTACTCCACCTGTAGCCATTTAATTATTTATTTTTCTCCTCTGCAGTGTCCGTATGGCCAAGTCAACGTGAAGGACCCTGCAATGAAGAAAACATTTAATTCTCTATTTTATGTATAGGCCTATAGACGAAGGTGAAACGCCTGTTCAGAACGGATCCCAGCACACGCTGCTTGGCTTCGGCCTGTCGTTGTTTGGACCACTTGAGAGTCATTTTTAGCAGTGTACCAAATGATGAAATATGGGTAGTGTCTGTGCAATATCTACCTCCTGTGAATCACAACTATTCTCAGGATTATTTTTATTCTCACAAGACAGGGGAGGAGGAGGAGGAAGGATTTGTTCACTAGATCTCATGTAAAATAGTCTTTTATCACGTTTTTTGTTTTGCTGTATTTTTCTGATATTTTTCTCAAATGTCCAATGAAATGCCTTGAGCTTCATTTTTTCCTTTTCTCTTTAAGAGTATTAAATATGTTGTGGTATCCCGCTCCTCTAATGCATTTACAAGGGCTGTGGGAGTATGGAGATGAAAACTGAAGGAGCATTTTAGATCTTAGCCCTCAAGATAAAGGGCATGTAAGCGAAAGTAACTGCAGCAACTGTAGCTAGTCAGATGGAGTCTTGTGCTCTTTTTGCTTTGCATCTCTTGTTATTCTTCCTCCCAAATGTAGAGCTGCATGAATATTAGCATCATTTAAGTGCTCGACTTAACTGTCTACCTTTGACTGGAACGCTGTGTTGTTAAAAATAGGCAGGGGCCAAGGGTCGGCCCTCACACTTGGCTGCGCTGCTTTTACACCACTTGATGGAATCAGGCTGTTAACAAACATGCCATGGACATCAACAGCAGCCCTCCCCACCGGACTCGCAGCTCAGCCTCCTGGCAACACTTGGCTACAGCGCAGCTCCCCGCGGCTGCTCTCCTGAGCTGCAGCCTAATGAACTCCTGGGCCCCTCTCATCCCAGCACTGCAACAGAGCCGCTCATGTTCGCGCGCATGCTTAGACACACACACATGCATAGGCAGGCTCGCTCCGTCAGAACAGCCTGTGGCTCCTAATAGGCCAATATAGAATAAAGGTTGCACTAAACACTGCACTTTGTAGCCCACAGTAATAGTACAAGGTAAGGTCAAGCGCTCATGCAAGCGGCGCCTGTGCGTGCGAGAGATGCTGAGGGAAGATGTGCCACTTGATTTGTGAGTGCATGTGGGTAGGCAGCGCGATGCCTCCAGGCGCTCGCTCTGAACCTGCCACACACACTCGCCTGTCTCCGCCTGATTGGGCAAACAGCGTCGGGATGAGAGGATGTGTCTGCCGCGGAAATTCTGTCGCTGCCGCCTACCGGCGCGGCCACAGTTTCCCATTCGGCAGGTGGGTCCCAAAGGCAAGTGCTTAGTGATCGGAGCAAAGCCCTGTGAGCGGCTACAAGGAGATTCATGATCCCAACAGTGCTGGGGAGGACAGGTTCTCGGGGACGCGTCGTCAGTGCGGGATGAGAGGCGAATTTATTTGGTGTTATTCTAAACCGAGGCAGCGGAGCGTGCGGCAGCAACATTTCTACAGCGGGATGGTGAAGGTGTCACACTCATCAAGTACCTGGGCCCGCTTGCCTGCCGCGGCTCTGCTGGTTTTGCCTAGGGACTTGTCTGTCACATTAAAGTAGATGCATTGCCATTCAGGGCCTCGGCGGTCCCGCAGCCTGACCATGAAATAGGCCAACTTTCATGTCTGCCTCATTCCTCCACGTCTTCCCAATCCAGTGATGGCACAGTTTGAAATGTTTTTTTTTTTTTGTTTTTTTTTGTAATTTAAATATCATGTTCTAGCCTAGAAGTTGGTGACTGAGACACAAACAGCACAGCAATCCCTTCGACAGATTTATGGAGAAATTAGCTTGAAAATCGACCCCGCCTTCTGCCCCCGTGGTCAATCATCATGAAGTAGGCCTGTGTTTGGAAAGAGTAAGCCTTGCCTTAGTGGGCGTATACATGTTCTTAAAATGGGACCTTTTCAGATGCTTGACTGAGTATGTCACGAAGCATTTAACTAAAAATCAGGACATTTTTTCTCATTGACTTTCAGATGAATTGTTTGTAATATGCTAGAGTTTTTAACTAAATGTAGCCTTTTTTTTTTACTTTATTCGACACGTTGGGAACATTAAATGTATTTACCCACAAAATACCTCAATCGATCTTATTCATGGATTCATTCATTTTGTCAGTTTATTAGGTACACAATCTAATGCAATTCAATGCAACAGCTCTGTCATGAATTCTACCTGGACAATGTTTATACAGCTCAGTTTCTGTTGAAATGGTTGTGAATGTGAAAATTGAATTATATGCTTATTATTGAGGTTATAGTTTGCAGTGATGTTGTACTGGACTCCAAATATTAAGAGGTGTTTCAAATTTTTTGTCCTCCCATATTTATATACATGGGGGGGGGGGGGCAGAATATTAGAAACACTTCTCAACTATGACCTCAATGCTAAACATATAATTGAATTAACACCATATGACAGTATCAAAAACCCCTGAACATTATAGGCATGATAACTATAAGAATAAACTATATCGCAGAATAATTGGATTGAATTGTACTAGATTGTACAAGTGTACCTAATAAAGTGGCCACTGAGTGTATATACACACACACAGTGGCAAAGTTACAACAGCCAACCTGACATGTGGGGTGTTTATTTCAGGCATTTTGGACTGAACATCTCTGACCTTCAGCTGGAGCATATGCTGTGCTGGAGCAGAGTGGCAGCTATATGTACCGTGTGCCTTTCTGCAGGACGACTAGCCGCAGAGAAAAAAGAGAGCTGTCCAGTTTGGAACAGTGACCAGACAGGCTCCAGTCACAACCAGTTGACAGGCCAAGCAGCCCCTCCTCACTCTACTCCCCCCCTCCATCTCCAAACAGCCACAGCAGCCCTGCGGCCAATGGCCTCAACCACAGTCAGTTACAGTGTCTCCATCACTGTTGGCCAGACCAGCCAGGAACTGACATAGGGTTGGCGGCGGAAAAAAAACTTGAGTGTCAGCCGTATGATGGCTGAAAGGAACATCAGTCTCAGCAATTGGCCAGGCACTGCTTTGTACGCTAGTGTGTGTGCACGCACGCAAGTATATACGTGCACGTGTGTCTTGATATTCAAGCAGCATTTGAGCAGCGCCTGCATCAACGTCTGGTCGTTCTACACAGACAATGTCAGCCCGCCTCGGGGCAGCAGCCTCCGCAGTGGTCATATGGACAACCAGATCCCTGTGGTAGAATTAGTGATAAAAAACACACATGGCCACTGAGTGACAGTCAGGGCACCAGATTCCTTTGGACAGACAGGGCTGCAAATAGCACAGAGGAGCAGTTTCTCCCTCAGACCACAACTGGTGGCCAGGCTCATGCCAGGCCAAGTCGTGGCCGCCAGATGAGCCCAGATAAAAGGAGACTCAGAGGCAGTAACAGGCACCTAGTGCCCAAGCAGCACTTTGGCCTGTTTATTTCCCTCCTGGTTTTACATCAATGCAGTTATATCTAAGGTTTCTTGTCTACACTAACAAGACAAATGATTTGGCTTCTTTTTTTTCTTTTCTATTACACTATAACCTTTAACTTATGTTCCCCTATGACTCGGTCTACAATGAATGGTTGAAAGGAAGAGAGTGTTTGACAATATAACAACAAGCATCACCTAAACATGTGTGTCTCCTCCGAAAAGCCACTTTACCCCATAAGGTTATATAGCAATAAAAAAAACATCCATCTATTATGTTTCCATGTCTTTTCTAGTGTGGCCAGATATGGACTAATACGTGCACCATTCCCCAGGAGGATACTCTGTCCCCAGAGGAGGTGGTGGTGGTGGGGGGTGGCGGGGGTGTGCTGTTGGAGCTGTTCTGGAGGCAGGGAGGGGAGGCAGGCAGCAGTTGGTGTGCAGAGAGCAGAGGCTCAGGCTGGCTAGTTAAGAGCTTCTCTCGCCTATCCTCCATCTGCCAGGGACCGGGGTTGTGATTTGAGCTCCAGCAGAGCAGAGCAGGGAGGAGATCGAAGGAGGGTTGGGGGGGGAGGTAGTGAGAGGAGAGGTAGTGAGCGGGTGACGGGAGGGGGAGCGTTGGCTGGAAGAGACAGAAAGGAGAAAGTGGAAGAAGTGGTAGTTGGAGGAGGAGAGGGGGGAAAAAGTGAGGGAGAGAGAAAAAACAAGGATGGAAATGAAAAACAGGATAAGTGGGGATTGAGACGCCTCAACTCTATTTATAGTCTTATTCTTGTCTACTATCATTAGCCTCTTATAAATCACTGTTAGGCATTTTTATTTGCCTATAAAAACAGTGATTTGGTCATATTTCACCCATGCTTGTGTGTTTGGATATTTCCTCCAATAATTATGAAGCCATGTCCATTGTGTGTAAATATTTCCAGGATGTCTCACCCACCCACCCAGGCTCATGTGACTGGGATACATGTGACTGGGATTCAGCTTTGCAGTGCTTCACTCCTCCCTCTGTTCCTCCTCCTCAAACCCCCCTCTCCCTTCCATTCCCTTCCCACTCCTCTCCTTCCCTCTGTCAGTGTTTAGCCTGCACCACAGTGGATCCTGGGAGAGCCTTCCCACCTCCCACCTCCTCTCCCCCCTTCTTTGCCTCTCCTCGCCTCCCCGTCTCCTCCGCTCCTTTTCTGGCGATGCTCTGGGAGTGACTGAGAGCTCCCTCCACGAGACCGAGTGTCACTTGAGGTGACCCAGAAATGATGACTCCAGATGAACCCTGGATGTGTGGTAATCTAACCACCATGCCCAAGGAGCCAGGCGGCCATGGAGGCAGTCAGGCAGGCATCCCGGGTTGATGCGGCAGTGTCTGTGGTCTCACTGTTGAACCGAGCACGCTGCAGAGCCTGTCTGGGTATCATGCTCGAAGAACGCTGTGTGCACGGGACGCGTTGTGGTACACAGTGAAATGGATCTGAGTGCCGTTGCATTATTGATGAGATACATTGTGATGTCAGCCCAGGCGGAAGGAGCAAAGCAAAATGACTGTTAGCAGTATGGCACAGTGTCATTTATGCAAGCAGCAGAGAGGTGTAATTAATTGTCACCCCTTGCTCTCACTGGAGCTGAGGGTGTTTACAGAATACGAACCCTCAATTCACTTGTTGTCAATTGAAATCAGTCCATCATCTACCTCAATGTGTTTTCCACGTGGCCAGTGTGAGCAGGTCCAGGACATCCTATCTTCTGCATGACCTGTCTTTGTCATGTTAACAGTCAAATTCAGATGGAGGCCCCATGCATTACAAAATCTTTTACATTCTGTTATCAGTGTTGTTATTATTTATGGGCTTCTTGTCATATTGCTTAGCCTGTCAGGTGAACAACATTCCAATAATGCACACGGAAATTGCTCCAAACAACATTCTCTAATAAAGTAATGAATATTGAAAATTTTAAATATATTGTTTCATTAGCAGTCGGGCACAATCAAAGCAAAAGCAAAATTAATATTTACTGAAAAGTTGACATTTTTAAATAGTGGTGAATTTTTCATCAACAACATTTCTTTCTTCATTAGATGTTGCAACATGGGGCCAAGTGTGTGCAGAATGGTTGCTGGCTAAATACACTCAACACTGCATTGCATTTATATGAAGTTTGTCAGCTGCTTCTCCAGGTGAGGCAGATGGAGAGACATACAGCGCAGTTTAGGGGAAACGAAATATGAACCCATGGAATTATTTTAATGTTGTTGCTATTTTTGGAGGATTAATTTGATGTAAGTGATGAAAATTGAAAAATAGACCAGAGGTGAGGAATAAAACAAACCAAAAAAAGACCATTGTATTATTCATGAATACGCCTTTCAAACGTCTGTACAGGTTTCATGACGCTAATACAGACACAACAACTTTAGATTTAGATTATTGTCACATATAAATACTTACAATTCAGAAAGTATTCAGCACCTTTATTTCGAAAATGATTTTTGCCAATACCAAACCTTTTTTTTAATTTTGTTTTTTACAGCACACCTTGTGTTGCTGCTTCACATCTTTGTCAGACTGACTGATCCAGTTTGATTATATATCTAATCATTTATTCACGCAAACCTCCGCTCTCACACCAGTGGAATTAGAGCTGCAACCGTGGGCCTATTCATTTCACTTGAACCGCACACTCTTAACTGATTTATAGAGCAATATGTACTTAGACCCCACCTATAAATTATAAAAATAACTCGTCTTCTGGGGTTAAAATACAACTTTACAATCTGAATGAATACGTTACAGTTAAAGAAGACATTTCGTGTAAAGGAAAAAACAAACGTCTGCTTTGATTTAAATACCCCTGAATCTGGCTGTCGCCTATATAACGGCAGTTGTTTGCTATTTGGCGACCACCGACTCCAGATTATTTATCCTTTAATTTACGACTACTTCACATATTCTAACCTACATGCTGAGTAGGCCGTTGGCTCGTGGCTTCTTATTCTCTGTGCGTTGGCTGTGTGCTGTGCTGTTCGGTGTTGAGGGCTGACTGCATGCGGGAGAAGAATATGTAAATGTCTTGAGTTTTAATTGACGCTCGAGCTAGAAGTGTAAGCTCAGAAACGAGGAACAGCCCCCATCTACCGGCAGCGTCTCCTCTGTCTCCTCTGCACACTGCGCGCAGTCCGGAGCGCCTCAGCCTGCACAGGGATCTCACGCACAGCACAGCCTCAGGTAAGACCTTTCTATACGTCTGCTTGGGAAAATAACAATAATACAAGGTAGGCTTTTTAACAAAACCCCGTGAGGCAATGCGCGACTGATCTAATGCATGATGAATGCGGTGGCTTTGGTATTATTCTCCGGGATAAACAAGGAGGCTGTGGACGGTAAACTCATCTAAACCTATAGTACTACATTTTATTATGTTGTAAGCAAATATTTTGTATCTTGACAACAATCTGAATTATGAAAATATATAACGGGAGTATGTGAGTGGTTTTAAAATCCTGCAAGTTGAACGGCAGAGAAAATATGAAATGACGCCCTTTTTAAAAATCTATAGGTAGGAATATACGTTATTTAGTTTGTCGGCTGAGATTTAAGATATTTAATTTTCTTTATTTATATGAGAAAAGTCAGGCCTACTGAGCCACGCTTGGTTTAAACGCCATTTTAAACATGGTTATTAATTAACACTGTTTTTATTTCATTTTTTAAAACCACTAAAGGTTTGAAATGGAGCTCAATGCAGTGCATGAATACACAGCAATTATCGTGTTTATAAAAAAAGACTTCATTGTGTCAAATAAGATCACAAATCTTAAATTAGGGCAAACCATTCTCAGTAATTAAACGAAGAATGGCACAGGACCGCCCAGATGAATATTCTTCAATTAATTTCATTCCAGTTATGAAATATGATGGGTAACATACATAACCACGTTGCTTAATTGGACATATTAAGAAAACGTTTCAAACGAGAACTGTTATTTCCAAATCAAATAAATATTGTCACTTGTTTTTTGTAAACGTGATTTCGTGAAATGGCTTTGGTTTGTATTTTCAAACTTCCTCCAAATGGCACAACTGAAGAAAATCAACAAAAACGTTTTATTAGTGTATATTTAGTTGCAGGTAATATCCTAATTGGATACAAAGAAAAGGAAACGACACAAAACGACAATACAATAACATTATTCCCTCAGCCCCTTGGTGTTCACTGACACATTGTTAAACCCTCTTCAGTCAAATGAAATGTCACTGCTGGAGGCAACGGGTCAAAACAGTATTCTTTATCGACAAGAATGATGTCTTGATAAAAAATACGTACACGCACAAATACTGTATTTACATTTTACTGTGTGATTAAGTCCAGTTTATGAAATTATTTCTGGAGAGAGAGAGAGAGAGAGAGAGAGAGAGAGAGAGAGAGAGAGAGAG